AGCAGCTCACAACTTACGGTCCTAGACCAMGTATCCTCTGAGTAGCCAAAGAACATTCGTTTGAAGGCGAGTTAAAGTGAGAAACCGAAATACCCGCCACGTAGAAAACATACCCAATGAAAAAGCACAAACTCCAAAAACAGCATCGAGAAAAACGAACTTAAAACGGCGCACTTAGCGTAGCTGGCCACGAGCGCACAAGTTCTCAAGGCTGAAAATATTACGCGGATCATCTTGTAAATTTAGGATACTATCCTAGAGGTGTTGTAAAATTTAATAAGGCAATAAAAATTGAAATTTTTGAAATCCGCAAACCCATGTAACCCCTAAAATTTCGATAAAATTAAAAAAATAGTTAAACATCTAAGTTTATTTTTTAGTAGTCGCCATTTTATCAAAAAATATTTTTTCTAAGCTTTGCAGCTTCCTAATCAGCTTAACCTAATCAAGAATCCATCACTGTTTTATTTTTCAGAATACTACAAGGGTAGAAATAACGGTGACGGCAAATTTTCAACCAATATAGTGCCTGATTTAGCTCCGTGTGACTTCTGGCGATTCAAAAAATTCAAACGACCGTTCCGGGGAAACCATTTTGAATCAGTTGAAGACAGTAAATGGGAATCGCTACGCGCGTTGGAGGCTATTCCGGAAATTGGYTTTAACAACTATTTCGAGGATTGGACGTTGACACATGTGCAAGATATTCATRTCCACAATTTTGAAATTTTATTGATTTTTCTGTAATTTATTTGAATTGTATATATTAAACAAAATTAATATAAAATTCGATACAAATATGGTAACACTGCAGTGGTCATGTTTCTTAACAGGGTTGTATCTAAAAAATAGTACGATGTCTATGCAACAGAATTCTTACTGTTATGAATAGAGCGTGATAATTGCCATTCAGTAAAAATTATTGACTTTTTGCTTTAGCAAATTTAAATACTTATTTGTTTATGCGAGATACAAAGTAATATTAACACTTTAAAAACTTTTTGGAACAAATAAAATGCTGAACTCTAGGTAGATCGGTAAAAAGGCAAAAGTACCTTCATTTATATTTTCACACTAGCTGGTAGCACGGCATAGTAGAAATGTATATGTTCAAATTAAATTTGTTGATTTGCTCTCAGTGTTTAATTGGGCGAACTTTGTGCTTCTTGTGCATATTTTCAGTGAGAATTATAGAAATAAATTTAACAAAATATTAAATAAAACGCTAACGAATACTTCAAATATATAATAAAGTGCTTAAACCACATGAAAGTAATTGAGTTTGCAACAAAACTACATGTTTATGATGTGACTACTATTGCCTACTTTTGTTTGCATATACGCAGGAGAAAACCAAAACCGGAAGCAATTTTTAAGAGCGAACCTCAGCGCGAGAGCAAAAAGCCAAAGAAAACAAAAACAAAACAAAACATTCCCATAAGCATTTCACTAAGCCGCCGTKGTGTGCCTGCGCATGTGTATGTGTGTATCTCACATAAAAGTGGGAAGTAAATTGTCGCAATACAAATTCGTTTGTTGCAAAGTTGGCGATCGTGCGTGAGTTTGAGGCTGTGAGAGCGCACTAGCAAGAGAGTGAGCTCTGGAAATCTGCTATTTGTGCGTTTCGTGTCGCAGATACATATATACATTTACCATTGGATGCACTTGTATTCACTTAGTAGGTAAAAGATGTCAAGCATCTGCTAACGAATTTTTTTTGGTTTTAGTATAACTGCAAGTTGAGTGAAGTGAAAATGCATAAAATACTACTTTGTGAATGAGAAAACGGATAATTTATTTATTTTAAAAACAAATAAGTGGAAATTGTTCAATTTTTGAAAAAAAAAAAATAAAACAAGAATTGTAAGTGAAGTGTTGTGAAAGCAAACCCACACAAAACGAAAAATCCTACCTGTTGAATGCCGCTGAGCAAGTGAAGCCCTCTAAATGTGACTTAGTGATTGTTCCTTCGAATAAATTAATATGTTTTTAAATTCAAATTCTTTTTTTCGGAAAGAATGTGTGTGAAACTCTTGCTTAGTTGATGGCTTGTTGTCTACAATATTTGAAGAAATCTAAAAATTGAATTTAATATCGTATAGCAAAATCTAATTGGCTTGTGCGCTACTCAAGTTCAGTGTGCAAGCAATAAGTGACCTCGATTTGGAGAAACCAGAAAAGGATGTTAGAAATTAATAGCAAGCGATATGTGCATAGACGCCACACTTTTTTTTATTAATAAAATTGCTGGTTTTTTCAGCTAGCATTCATAAGCAAGATCTATATGCAACACCCTACATGAATAAATATATGTATTTAAGTGCACACCCATCCAAACATATGTTTGTATATATGTATGTAAGTTAATGTATGCGTAGAAAGGCAAGTCACCAGCTTGGCGGTAAATCTGAAACGATTTTGTCGCCAACGTAAATCTAATGACATATCATATACATATCTACATTTCATTTACATACCTACATACGAACATACATGCATACATATTATACTTATGTATATGTATGTAGGCGCGTCTATAGCGCCTCGAAGTTGTGCGACAACTCTAGCAGACGTTCGCTGAAGTGTAACACTTTTCCTTTTGCTACTGATACAACCACTTATGTAGGTAGCCCCTTAATTACATGTCTAAATAAGTAGAAAGGCGCATAGATATAGATCGGTATGTAGGCCTAAGGCACATTCCGGCTTAGCAAATTTAATAATGCTGCGCATATTGACAGAATTATATTGTACAGTTTTTATGCTCGTTTACGTCTCTTTTACTTTCTCCTCAAAAGTATTTGATATTTCGTAAAAATACAATTTTTTTTTATTATAATTTTTTAATAAGCATAGGGCTTCATCTTTATCGAGAGCAGTGTTCCCGCAGCCTGTTTTATACATTTACCATTATTAGCAGATACGAATTTTCTTAAAAAATACAAATTTGTATTATCAAAATATGTTCCTGAGTCTTCCGAAGCAAGCCAACGCATAATTTTCTATGCACTTGTTATAAACCTCGGCTAAAATGACATACAGTGTCTTCAGTGAAATTTGTTTTTTTTTTTTTTGGTCTCAACTATTTTTCCCATTCATTAGATTATTCTACGGTTTCGCTGTCATATTCATAAACATATGTCCCGTCATCAGTAATGATGCATTTGATAAATATAGGTTCAAGCATGTCTATTACAACACCTACTCGAAGTCCTTCTTGAATTCATGCCCCATACATTAACCAAAATGTGTTGAGTCGATCGATAAGAGATGTTGAGATCTTTTACTATAACCCTGACTCAATACGACGATTATCTCCCACTATTTCTTTCGATTTTTCGATGTTATCGTTATTAACAGAGGTGAATGGACGACCCCCGTAAGGCAAGTTTTCAATAACTTCACGACATTTTCAACGATTCCGTAGCCGTACCATTTTATTTATGGCAGCAATCTCCAGACAAACTGTCAAACACACCCTAATTGACATATGTAGATCAAACTGCACGGGAATATTAGAAAAGTTTTACCAATTTAGGCAAAAAGTTAGTATCTATTCGGTTTACACGCGGTATAAATAGACCAGTCCGGGTCAAATTTGATCAGGATGTGTATTAAACGACAAGTGAAAATGGTCGAAAGATGGTTAAACTAAATTATTTCCAGATAAAACTAATAAGACGTAGACGTCCGCAGAGGAGCTTTAAGAGTTTTGTTTATAGAAGCTGAATTGTTTGCACGCTTCTTACCATCTTTAAGCTTTCATCAACTTTCTTATTCAAATTTGAGAATTTTTCGCATTCTTCATTACCAATCTGGGTCATAAAGAAGCACAGCTTATCTAACGTCTCAAATTCGTTTATTCGTTTTTATTTTATTGCCTACTCGTTACACTCTGCCAGCGCCTTGACTGTTATTTGCACAGTCGCCAATGTCATAGTAATTTTTATTTCAACACACTTTAAATATTCCAAAATTTTGTAGACGATTACAAAAGTTTTAGCAATCATTTGTACTAAACATTTCTTTTGATACTTATTCAGATCGCTAAGCGTGAAGCGTAAAAAAATTATCGTTAAATATTTCTATTTTGAAATGTGTGTAAGTGAAACTATTATGGTCGGTACTTTATACTTGGAGTAAAATAATTATATTTATATATAATTAAAAAAATTACACTCTGACGCGCTGATGAACGCAAAATTTAGGAAACTTCATCTATACCATATTACGAAATCTAAAAACAATTTAGTTCTTTAGTGAAAAAAAAGAACAACTCTTAGCACTGTTGGGATTGTCTCTACTTCGTGTGAAATACCCAGTGATTCATTTTGAGATCCTTACTTTTTTTAAAGAGAAAACACAAAAACTGCAAACTTAATGGGGAATATTTATTATAATTCGAAAGAACATTCTTTAACATTTATTTTTTGAAGATTATCAGATGTCTACCCATTGATTCCAATTTTCGATGACATGTTCGAGCATTCCGACTGGTAACTGGCTAATAAAATACGTGATGTTTTGCTCTAAGGCCTGAATCAAAGCAGGATTGCCTGTATAGCCTTTAGACTGACATATCCCAACCAAACAAAGTCTATTGGTGTGATATCACACGCCCTTCGTGGTCAATCGATTGGCCAAAAAAAATTTATTGCTAACCGAAGTGTTCTCTCAATACATTCATTCAGTCTTGTTGAAACCAAATATCGCCGAGATCACGAGCTTCAAATTGAGGTATCAAAACGGTTGCCATTGACGGTTACGCTTTCACCGGCTTCATTTTTGAAGGACCGATGATTCAACCGGAGCACAAATTTCTTCTGGATGAAAGGGCAGCGCTTGAATTTCTTCAGGTTTCTCTTTGTCCCAAATGTGGCAATTTTGCTTCTTTACTTACCCATTGATCAAGAAATGGGCCTAATCGCTGAACAAAATTTGGTCCGAACCGTCGGATCTTCTTGGAACATTTCAAGAGCCCATAGAGCGAAGAGGTGTACATAAGCTGTATTTTATTTCAATTTAAGATCTCGATGTAAAATTCCCCAAGTCGTTCCATACGTTAGTCCAAGTTACTGCGAATGACCTCGAATCGACTCACCTCCACCTTCGTGTACACTCTTACAAAGCTACGGATGCTATATTTGCTTCACTGTGTGCTAGGCTTGGTCTATTCGATCGTATTTTATCCAATAAAGAATGCTTGGGCTCAAACTCACGCGAAGCCTGCTATCTGGTAGTAGAGCACCGATCCGCTCCCATTCTATCGATACTGGTTCTAGGATACCTTCCCTTGCTAGCTCATCAGCTTTCCAATTTCCTACAATTCTGCTATGCTGGCACCTATACCAGTCTTATCACACCTCTAAACGCACATAATGAGTTCAAGACTATGTAGTGTCGCCGCTCTGCTATCTTAGTGAATGGTCACTTTTCTGAAGGAGGTCGTACTCCGGAGCAGTAGATCTGCTGCTACCTTAATGGCTGCAACGTCGACTTGGAAGCCACTGAAATAGTCAGGAAGTCTGAAACTGGAGTTGATAGAGATTTTCGGCTACATCCCCTGGTTCGCCGAAGGTATGCTATTCAACTTTGGGGAATAAATTTTAGCTACAAGTGGTGGAATTTTGAAATGAGGTCTTCAACAGTTTACAACATTTTTAGCTGACGTTTTGATTATCAAATATAGTAATTTACACTTGATTGTAGCACCATTGAGAAATATATATATAAATATATAAGTTACCTGCGAATAACTGCTTGATTTTATCGGCTAAGGCCTCCCGTGGTTGTAAAAGACAAATACTTTTTTTAAGATAATACGAAAAAAGGAAGGATAAGCAATAAAAAATGTAGGTTTAAAATAATTAAAATCAAACTCAATTATTTATCCCTCTCAATATGTAGACTACTTAAAAATGTCTAAAGGCAAGGAGAAGCATTGGTAGACTTTGGGGTCAACAATACCCAACTACAGCATAAACAAACAACAGATGCCTTAAGCAATGACTAAGACATCTAATAAAATGTCTGGTATTACTAACAACAACCACAATAATAATAACAATAACAACAATATAAACAAACTGAGTGAAAAGTTTTTAAGTGCAAGTAAATCAAAAACGATAGAAACGTCGTCACACACACTGCCAACTGGTGTCAACACCAACACAATTAACAATAATAATAATAATAACAACAACAACGCCATCTCCCATAATAACCCGAAATCGAATAATAACAACGAGTGTGACAAAATAACACAACAGCAATTTTCTGCTACGATTTCGAGCAAATTACAAGCACCACAAACCCGGCGCTCACTGCCAGCTCCCAGTGCTGTGCAAACATTGGCGCAACGCACACTCCAACAGCAACACCAGCAACAGCAAAGCGTGACGACAAACTCATCGGTATTGCCATCAGCCAACCCAATTACAAAATACTCAAACGGCGCCACATTGCCTTCGCACCAGCTGCAAACCATCGCCACTGTACACCAACATCACCCACAGCAGCAACAGCAACAGCAACAGCACACAACCGAGCCCACGGCAGCTGCGTCAGCTGGTGGCATTCCAACAGACTCACAACAACAACAACAAACACACCTACACTCAACATCCTCGAGTAACGCAAAGGATAAGCGTCCTCACAACCATAACCAGCACCATCAAAAGCAACACCACCCACAGCACCAGCCGCAACATCCGCACAATCACAGCCAGCAACAACAACAGCAAACAGCTTCGAAGCATTTGAGTGGCGAGAGTGAAGGCACTTCGTCCACGATAAACGGCGTCACCTTGCAGCAGCAACGAAACACGTACAATCTGCAGGCGCTGAAAGCTGCCAATCATTTGAAGGCGCCAGCACATTCCATACCGCCASGCTACCAACCACCACCCCAACCGGCTGGCAATCAGGCGGGCATATTGAAGCACATAAATACACTGCGCAGCGGCGGAGCGGAGAGTGCTGAGACCTTCGGCCAGCGCCAGTCGGCGACGGGTGGTAGCAAACAGCTTGCGTCCGCGAATTTCGATACTACGCATTTCAATCTTAAATATCCGCCGGACATACCACAATTGTCGCCTGTCTATATACCAGATTCGCTGAAATTAAACGGTGGCAGCGGTCGTTACTTGCCAACGCATCAGACAGCGCTTGCACAGCGGCAAAGTACGCGACTCGCGGGTGGTACTACAAATCCGCAATACTTCTATAATTCACAACAACAGCAGCAGCAGTACCGGCAGCAACAAGTGGAGCAGCAGCAGCAGCARCAACAGCATCAACAAGATATGCTTAAGTTTGTGCGTAAAAGTGATCAGGATCATCCATCGCCGAATGCTTCGATCACATCGAGTGCCGCTGCTGTGTCGACAGGCACCACTCGTCTCACCGCCGAACAAAATCGACAACTGCAGGTAAAAATTCGTTGAACCATCAATTATGGTGCAAGTTAAGAATTATTACTACTTAAACACTAGACCATCTTAGTCCGTGGTCTGTGTTGGTTATTTAAGTTCCGAGTTTCGTGTTCCTAACGGATCAAAACTTCCTACTTTCACATCTATTTTGACTACATATAACCGAGTCAGTTGAAAATTTTTTGGCAAAATTCGTTTTTTTTTTTATTCATCATAGTTCCTTTCAAGGGAGATATATTGAAATCGCTGTCTATGGTCCTTCCTTTTTCAATGTGTTCAATAAAAAGTATTCCTTGCGTATTCCAAAATACAGAGGCCATAAATTTTCCAGCAGACCGTTGCWTTTTCYACGCTTTGGAGCGGGCGCATCGTGTGCAATCCACTCAAAAGACTGCGATTGGACTTCGGAGTGAAATAATTGAGGCATGTTTCATCCATTGTCATATGTACATCGACGTGAAAATTTGGTATTATTACTCATCAACTCGTCGTTATTTTTTAGGTTAAAAGGGAGTTCATGTGATACCCGCTTTGCACAGAACTTTCTCTTACCCAAATATTCATTTTGTTGATATCTTTAGAGTGAATACTATCTCAAACAAATTCACTTTACGGTCATCCAAAATTACTTATTTTGCGCACTTTTCGATGTGTCTTCGGCAAGAAACTCTTCTGGGCGTCCACTGCGTTCACCGTCTTCGGTGCTCATTTCAAAATGTCTGAACTTACCACACCAAACCWTGATGGTTCAAAAGTATTCAAGCCTTTTGATACGATACTAGACTTGATACGGTTCATACCCAAAACTTTAACCAAAACGTGTTGAGTCTCTCCATAAAAGAAGTTTAAAGCAATCTAGTTCAATTTTTCCCATGTCAGAAATCGCCATAAAAACTGTTTTGTAAGCAAAAAATTACCAAAACAGACTSTAATTATTATTAATTAATTAATCTAATTTTTAAAATAAAACTTCAGGTGTACAAAAAAGTGTATAGCAATCTATARAAAAAATTATCGATTTCAATCCACTACAGGTCAATTTTGATCAGATGTACATAATAATTCTTCCATTACTTTTCAACTATTCTATATTTTAACACTAATTTTCCAACATTTCAAACGAGTAGGGTCTCATTAACGAGCTCCGCGTCTTAAAGGAACAGAATCAACGTTTACTCGATGACAATCAGGAATTGCGTGACTTGTGTTGCTTCCTCGATGACGATCGTCAAAAGGGTCGTAAACTCGCAAGAGAATGGCAGCGCTTCGGTAGATATACCGCCAGTGTGATGAGACAGGAGGTAGCAGCATATCAGGTAGGTCTGATGCTCTCATGATCTTAATTCTAARTACTTAACTTATGATTTTTTGTAAAGCACAAGCTACGRCAGCTCGACGACAAACAACAAGAACTAATTACCGATAATCTGGAACTGAAAGAGTTGTGYCTGTACTTGGACGAGGAGCGCACACATATTGCGGCAAATGCGCTCTGTGCAAATTGTGGCAGCTCGGTACGCAATCCGTTACGGGATGATGGCGATGGCAGCAGTTCAAGCACAAATGCAGAAGAAACTTTATCGGCGTTAAGGAACTATGAACGCCAAATGCCTGTAAGTACAACCCTTGAACAGGTTTGGAACTTACAATTTTAGTTATAAATCGAGTTTTTTTGTTACAAAACGCTAATAAGTATGTCAAATGCTTGACTGAAATTACCCTAGAAGGTGATCCATTTCGAGATTCCCCTCTTTTTATACCCTGAACAGGGTATATTAAGTTTGCCACGAAGTTTGTARGAACCAGAAGGAAKCGTCGGATACCCTAWAAAATAAATATATAAATGATCAGTATGTTGARCTGAGTCSATTTAGCCATGTCCGTCTGTCTGTCTGTCCTCCTGTCTGTATATATACTAACTAGTCCCTCAGTTTTTAAGATATCGTTTTGAAATTTCGCAAACATCATTTTCTMMTCAAGAAGCTGTTCATTTGTCAGAATTTTTATCATTCGAAATCTACCTCTCARATGATCCACCCGTTGAGTGCAATTTTCGATGACTGATTCGAGCATTTCGACTGGTAATTGGAAAATGGCGCCGTCTTGTTGAAACCAAATGCCGTCCAGATCACGAGCTTMAATTTCAAGCATGAAATAGTCGGTTAACATGGCGCCCAAATCATTTTTGAAGAAATATGGACCGCTGATTTCACCGGCCCACAGGCCAAATCAAACCTTGTTTTTTCTGGATGAAATGGCAGCTTCTGAAACTCTTCAGGTTTCAATTCATCCCAATTGCGACTATTTTGCTTGTTCATATACCCATCGAGCCAGAAATAGGCTTATCACTGAACAAAATTTGGCTCGAAAACGGCGGGTATTCTTGGAACTTTGCTAAAAGCCATAAAGCTAAGCGACGTCGCTTGGGAAGGTACAGTGGCTTCAGTTCTTTAAATTCAAGTTAACAAGCTGTATTTTGTATTTAATTTAAGGTGTCGACGTAAAATGCGCCAAATCGATCCACATCTCACATCTCTTCGTGTACACACCAAATCCAGTTCTTGTATGAAAGGATTTTTTATTTATGAAGGATATTATATGGTAGCTTCGGTGCAATCGAAGTTAACGTCTTTAATTAATTTTCCTTATCGATCGACTTGACTATAATTTTAACTACTTTTCCTCTGTACCAAAGTACACTATACAAATTTGTATTATGGATAAAAAAACATTTTTTAACTGCTTTTTATATCCTCGCACATTCATAGGAGGCAACGCTACGAACAACACTAAGTGATCAGACCGTCCAATACGTGCGCTCGTTGGAACGACGCATACGACAATTGGAAGAGGAGCGTGTTGGCACAACAACGCCAACATCCAATATCCTAGCTACACAGCATACCCAAACGCAAGCACCAAGCGCACAAACACAGCAACATCAACAACAACAGGCGCAGCAGCCACAACAACAATCAGCACAAAATCCACTAATCGATCCGATATCGAGTCGACCCGAAGCTGTGGTGCGTGCGCTACAAGTACTCGAGGTACGGGAGCAATTGGAACGAGATCGTCTCAGTGGACTCATTGAGAACTCAAGAGACCAAATGGATGACGGCGAAAAGGCGTTGGTGCGCGAAATGTGTAATGTAGTGTGGCGTAAACTCGAAAGTAATGTGCCGAACGTGTCGAGTAGTATGTAACTAGTAATGTTAACAGAAAAAGTAAAATGAAGAATAAGAAGAAGAAAATATTGCCAATTTCAATCATTAAATGAACACGTGCACATACGTACATGCGTAAGCATTATGCATATGCTTTGTCCTGGAAGGAGTTGATTGAAAACACTCTTGCATCACAAGTTATTACATACATTATTTATATGCAACCATACCCATGTATGTACGTACATATTTTACAAAATAATAAAGCGTGTTTTTTAAAAATATGCAAATAATTAGTAACGGTTTTTAATTGRTATTTATGGATATGTGATTTTTGAATACCATAAAGACGGCTGGGTCATTTTCTCACCAATAAAGAGCTCAGTTTTCAGAACAGCCGATACCGCWCCAAAATAGTATATAACTGCCATACAAACAGATCGATCAAAATATAGTCCTCGTAAAGAAAACTCGGAACGGATCGGACTATTGTTGCTTCGCTGCAGCCGAACTCACGTATAACGTTTTTTCTTTGTTTCCAATAATTATGTCAGTCGGGTTCACGCATTGGAATAGGTCGAATATTTTTTTTTTTTTTTTTTGCCGAAGATTGATTGACTGGCTGGACTCTGTGCATATTGAAACCAACACAAAAACAAAGTTTAACTTCGGTTACTCATACGACTCGTTAGTTCGATTATCAAAATTTATTGAACAAAAATCGATTTCTTTTAAACTTTTACATACCTGACTTTAGCGAAACTTAACAAATCAAATTATCAAAATTTAAACGATTTTTGAACTTATTCAAAMACGTAAACGAAAATAAAATAAATTTACATACATACATATTTACATATTGCTAACAACTATTGATAAGATAAACTGATATCTAAGCGCATGCTTTGCTTTGCTTTGCGGTATAAACAATATCGGCAAGCAATGCTCACGGCGCACTACTCTTTGTTAATGCGCTCGCCTTTTGAAGTCCTGCGCGTGCCTCTTTTTAATCCCGATACACGACAATTATTTGTGCTAGACATACAAATCGGCGAAACACTTGGCGGTTTGCCATACATATGTAGGCGCTCAATACGTTGCTTCGGAGTCGGATTCGATTCCATTTTCATAATGTTGCTGCACGAGGAATTTGACAATCTGCTGGCATTGAGCGAAGCGGCGCTTTTATTCACAYTATCATTTTCCCAATCAATATGCCTAAATGAGCCATCATTGGTCGGTGTCSTGATTGCTGTTTTSTCTTTTGTTGTAGTTGGTGTATTCAATGCGGCTGCTACCAATTCCGCCCGCTTTCTGGCACGTGTGCGCATGCGCGTATTCTGTCGTACTGGAGGCTGTGGTGTACTGGTGCTCATGGCGGCTGAATTGAAAAATTCTTGCAAATTTGGTATGGGTGTGGCAGGTGGTGATTTGGGTTCATTTGCCATTGACGCAGCGGWTGTGGCGTCGCTTCGCTTAGTTGGCGTTTCAACCATGCTATTTTCTGGCTTGAAATTCTGAAGTTTAGAAGATTTCGCCTTCAATTTGTTACTCATATTTAGAGATAGCAGATTCTTACGCGCTATTATGCCATGTCTAGCGCGATAATCTGGTGGAGTGTTCACAGCCATTTCGCTCAAACTGGAATGAGTGATGGTCGCTTGTATGTGAGCAAGCGGACTACGTTCACCACCAGTTGATTTGCAAAATAATTTTCGAGTTCGAGGTGGAGAAGCAGATATTCGTCGATTTTGTGCAATTTCGCTATCGCTACGCTTTCTCTTATTCAAACCATTCAATGTTGGTTCGGATATATCGGTCACTCGGTCTTCAACAACTATAGCTAAAGGCCATTCAGGAAACAGTAAATTATCTAACGACTTAGTTTCTGAACTCTTTTTGATATTTTCAGTRTCCAAGTTCTCAGTGACAGCAGCTCTTTGTTTTGCTTTTTTAGGTGATGTCGAAAATTCAAGAAGGTTTATTTTGTATTCATTTGCAGTATTTGCATTTACTACTTTTTCATTCGCCACTTCTTCATTAACATTTATTTTCTCCTCCTCTTCCACTGGCCACTCACTAAATTGTAAATTTTCTAAAGACCGCTTAACATCGTCCTCAACACTTTCCTTTTGAAATTCCATCACGTCTTCTAATATGCGCGCAGCTCGTTTTTCTGCATCATCGCTTATTTGTATAGTTTTATTTGACGCAGTGGCAAATCCAGTCATTTTATTCACATGAAGTTCCGCTTCCATGCCATCATTTGGCAGTTGCTCTAATATTTTTAACGCACGTTCCTGCGCTGCTTTGGATATACTTATTGATTTACTTGAAGCAGTGCGAAAGCCTATGAAAACCTGTTTACTAGTCGAGGCATCGTTTGAAGTAGCGTCATTCCTTAAGCATATTTCGTTCTGTGGGAGTGGCGTTAGCGTCTCCTGGGCCCTTGCCGCCTGTTGCTTTGCATCATTGGAAATTGTAATTGTTTTATGGGAGATAGTGGTAAACTTGCAAACATCCGGCATTTCTTTACTGCCGATTCGTTCGTCCGGATTTGCTGAGGTTCCAACTAAGTCATCACCGGCCTTAGAAATTATTATTGTTCGGTTCATGACATTTTGACAATCTTCTTCTCCTGCTTCGTCTTCTATAGGTAACTCTTCGTCACAACTGTTATTTATCGGTAGTGGCGGTAGATTTTGAAAAATGGACGCCACGCGTGCTTGAGCTTCCGCAGATATTTTCACTTCTTTATTGGAGGCCGTTCGAAAGCCTATTAGTGGCTCCGCGTTTATTTGCGCAGCATTACCTCCGTTGGTATACATTGTATGATTTGCTTCCGAAGTTTCAATTTTGTCCAACTTGAATGATAAAGCCGCATCCAAGGCAATACCCATATCGAATTTAGCGAATATATCACATTCATCATACCATTCATCGTTTAGCTCGTCATTTTTTATATCGTCTTCTATATAAAACAAAAAAATAAGAATGCATATGCTGACAATAAAAGCAAATAAGGAGCATACCGTTAGCTGTTAATGTATCACAGTTTTGTTTTGTGTCCTCTTCCTCACTGCTAAAGCCTTTAAAGTCTTCTTCGTTTGAAATGTGTCCACTGGAACTCGTCTTGGATTGTTCTTCCGTTTCCGATAGCACCAGTTCTTCGTCGATCTGCATACAATCACCTTCTACACTGTTCGTTGTGAATGATATGTTGGAACGACTTTTAAATTGATCCTCCGTTTCTGGTAGCACCAGTTCTTCTTCGATTTGCATACAATCATTATCTGCTTTGCTGGCTGTGAAAAATATTTCTGAGCTACTTTTTTCTGCTAATGTTTTTATGCCTAATGAGTCTTCCGACAACTGATGGTCTAAAAATTCCGTACTTGGATCTTGTTTTTTATCTCTTTCCCCGGACGACTCAGTAAAATATGCGCTCAAATTTTGTAAATTTTCACATAAACTCTGTGAATGCTGCAATACGACGACTGTTTCTTTCACAGGTATAAGTTGAGTTTGATCATCCTGCACCGAAAGATCAGTAGATGAATCATTGCTTAGCAAATCATCATTAAGCACGCAATGTACAACACTATTGGTGGGCTGGTTATATTGCTCAGCAATATTTTGGCGTGCCATTACATTTTCGTGTTTGCGTCTGCTGTATGTTCGCAATGGTTTATTAGCAAAGCGGAAATTAAAATTACTCTCCTCGGAGGAATGCCGTAGTTCAGGAGATTGTGGCGAACTACAGAAATCCTCAAGAATTAAATCTACTATCGACTTAGTTTTTCGTTTAGTCTCCGGCGTTGAAGGCGATTTGTTTAAGTCCTCTTTAACTTCTTTCATACTTGACAAATCGTTGGTTTTCTTTTCTGTTTCCTCGCATACTTGCAGCAATTCAGAATCTGTTATTTCAAATACATCAGTCTTATTGCGATTATTTTCACTAATTTTATCTTCTCGCTGTTCGAGAGATTCAAATAAAAAATTATTACAGGGCTCAAAACCTTGGGTAGCCTTAAAAAGACGCGAGCTGCTGGGCATTGCTCTACTCCGATCGGCAAGGACAAGAAGACGATGCTCAGCAAATGGATCGTAACTCATATTAACTTTTGATATTGGCTTTTCGTTTCCCTTATTTTTAATAGAATTTTCCATAGTCTCATCGGAGTCATACATTAGCAGAAGTGTGCAGGATAAATCTTCCTCCTCGACTTCATGTTTATATGACGTTTCCGAAGTTGYAGTGAACGTTGCGTTAAGCCTTTTATGCCTTCGATGTAAACGTGATTTGTGTATGGAATTATTCAATTTTCGTGGACTAGAGTTAATACTTTCATCAGCCATTGAGGAAGTAGTCGTCAAAAATATATTTAATTTAAGATATAAACAAAACTATTGTCTGTAGACTTTCAAACACCACCAACAGACAGCTGTCAAATACACTGAGGAAAATAAGTTGAATAATGGAGAAGAGTAAAGCCTGAATTTCATTAATTTTTTTATTTTGTATTTAAAACATAAATTTTTTTCCAATATAATTATTATCATTTATATAACTAGCCACAAAATACGAGCGATTGCAAGTTTGTGGAAATTATTTTAATAACGACATATACATATTTTGTGAAAAGTTTGATTTTTCAATAAGTGCATTTATAATGCAGTGCCTAAAAATGATTTAAAAAAGTAAATAAAATTGATGTCAGATGAATCGACCTATGATTCGTCTCTTGTGTGATAAAAAATATTGAAAAATTTATCGTCAGCATAAATATAAATAAATTAATTATTACTGGATGGCAACATTTTTTCGCTTACTGCTGAGTGGCCACTGCTTTTCACGTTGCAATACGTGCCCATTTTCTTTGCTCGCACGCAAGTTCGTGGCTCTAGTCTACAAATCGTTTTTTTCGCAAAATAAATTTGTTAAATAAGAACTAAGTAATTTGGTTCTACTAAAGAATTTTAAGAAACTAATAATCTTGTTATGCGATTGTTAATTGTTGTAAAATAATATCAACACCATAATATGCTATT